TAAGTTTACTTAGTACGTTTTATCCCCTTAACCAAGGAGTTAAAGTACCCGAGCTTCCGAAAAAAGTATTGTAAAACATATAAAAAAAATTTTTTTATCAATTGGATCGTCTGTGTAACATGGACGGTCCTACCTCGAATATCGAGGTATAGTCAAAATATGACATTACGAAATTTTCCGATATAGAAAATGAATGAACCTAAAATACAAGTAATTTTTGTAAATTCCGAAAAATTCGGGATTAAAGAACAAAATTAAATAGTACTGTAGGTCCGGTCAAGCCGACTAAGCCGACAAAATTTATCGGCTTAGTCATAGCTGAAACAGCCAGAATTACTAGTAAAAAATCTAAACGATGTACGTTCGTACGTTCGTACGTATCAAATATCAGTTAATTTTGCTTCCAATGAGATTCTGTAATAGTAAAAACACCATTGATACTATTAACTTCCAGCAGCTTCCGCGGTTTTCTGTGGCCTCCAGTGATAACACGTGAGTGTCGCCAAACGAAAAATCGTAATTCGTGGTTTTCGGAAATTTCACTTTACAAAATATGGGTTTACTCGAACTCTGGAAAGTCTGATTTTATATATTCAAAATTTTCAATCTGATGAAATGATTTAGGGCTGTTGGACTCTATTTATTATAATAGTTAAATATACAAGCCGATAACATCCCTACTATTCATATATTATTCTCAGTTAATCCGAAATTAAAGAATTGAAGTTTTTCGCTTTGCGGAACTCATGCATGTAAAGCTTGATCCGAAAACATTTTTGTAGGAAGTAACATACGCGGAGTTGATATTAGCTGCGCGGAATTTCTTGAGGTAATTGAAATTCACCAATTAACATCATCCCTTTCTTTGTGTTACATTTGATAATTGGTGTTAAGTTGAAAATACTGTACACTAATGAACTTATTGAGCTAGAAAATGTTCGAAAAGTCGCTTACAGATCTCATTCGTGGTATACGCGCAAACAAAAAAAATGAACAAAAGTACATTGCTGCATGCTTACAAGAGATCCATCAGGAAATAAGGAGTAATGATCCCGATATAAAAGCACAGGCAGTGTCGAAACTGACTTATGTACGTGGAATTCCTAGTGAGTTGTGATATGTTTTGAATAGAATTTTTTTTTTTCTTAAAATCCCATTGACAATATATCGTTTTTTTTGTAGCTTCAAATGCTAGGTTATGATATGTCATGGGCGTCTTTTCATGTCGTTGAGGTTATGTCATCGGCAAAGTTTTTTCAAAAACTTACGGGTTACTTAGCGGCCACACAATCCTTCCGGCAGGATACGGATATATTAATGTTAACTACTAATTTATTAAAGAAGGTAGTGTTTTAATAATTTTAGACTCTTCGTTTATTATGGATACTTCAATTAATGCTCTTCATTCAGGATCTTGCATCAGGAAATCATCTTGAGGTCGGTATAGCTCTTAATGGACTCTCTCATATCGTCACACCAGATCTTGCTCGTGATCTTTGTCAGGATCTTGTTTCAATGCTTAGCCATTCTCGTCCTTATGTGCGAAAAAAAGTGGTGCTTGTTCTTTATAAGCTTTTTCTTAAATTTCCTGAAGCTTTGAGATTAAGTTTTCCCCGTTTAAAAGAACGACTTGATGATTCTGATCCATGTTTGTGAGATTTATTAACATTCGTTAATGATGTTCCTTTATCTTGTTCTAAACCTTCTTTTCATATTATTAGCGGTCATATGTGCTGTTGTTAATGTAATATGTGAATTGGCACGAAAAAATCCAAAGAATTATTTGTCCCTTGCACCACAATTGTTCAAATTATTAAATACTTCCTCTAATAATTGGATGCTTATAAAAATTATTAAGCTGGTATTGTGTAGATTTTATTTTAAGATTTTTTTTTTTTGGTATATATCATTGATTGATGGTGTTAATATTTATTACAGTTTGGTGCTTTAGCACCACTGGAACCACGTCTTGCTAAGAAACTTTTACCACCAATTACACAACAAATACAAACAACCGCTGCTATGTCATTACTATATGAATGTATACATACTGTAATTATTGGTGGGATTTTAACTTCTGGTGGAAATTCAGATGCTTTAGCTGCAATGTGTGTCAACAAGCTTAGAATATTTCTAGAGGATCCTGACCAGAATTGTATCCTTATTAATTTTGTGGTCCTTGCAAATTTTGTGATACTGGATAAAATATCTCAAATTTATATTATCTTTGATTCAATTTTTACAAATTTTGAATTTAGTGAAATATGTTGGACTTTTGGCATTATCAAAAATTCTTCCAACATATCCAAAATTAGTAGCTGAAAATCGTGATATCATTTTAAAATGTATTGATGACCACGATATTAGTATCCGTTTACGTGCATTAGATTTAGTTGTTGGCATGGTAATTAATTATTATATTGCTTAAATGATTAAACTCTTGTATAATTTATATTATTAACATTTTTTATGTTTTATTTTAAAGGTTAACAAAAAAAATCTTACAGATATCGTTAAACGTTTGATGTCTCATCTTTTGCCATCAAATAATAATAATGAATCATCAACACTTCCATCAACTTTACTTGAACCAGCCTATCGAGCAGACATAATAAATAGGATTATCTTTATATGTTCTCAGAATTCATATAGTAATATTGTAAATTTTGAATGGTACATTGCAGTTTTGGTAGATCTTACCAGTGTTGCTGGAATTAATGTTGGTGATTTGTTAACAATGCAAATAATGGATGTTGGTATTCGCGTCAAGAGTGTACGACAATATTGTGTAAAAGCAATGGTAGGCTATTAAAATTTTCTTTAAAGCTTATAAAATATGAAATTTAATTATTAATTATAATACAGCAAAGGTTGCTCTCAGATTCTAATCTTTTGGAAAATTGTAAATTCCCCGAATCTAATTCTGAAGTGCTTCATGCTGCTGCTTGGATAACGGGAGAATATTGCAGGTTATATTCTTATGTTCATCTTTGGTTAATTATTATTCAAACGTAGCTTACCGGTTTTTATTATTATTGTAGTCACCTAGAAACACCAACTGATGCCATTGGATATCTTGTTCAGCCTGGTGTTACAAAGCTTCCACATAATGTTCAAGCTGTTTATATTCAAAGTAGTTTGAAAGTATATGCATTTTGGGCAAATAGTTTGACTTATAACTGGGATGAGGATTCAAAACAGGAATTATTACGATTCACAGAAATGATAAAAAATAAAATTTCAATGTTTTGTTCTTGCACAGATTTGGAAGTTCAAGAAAGGGTAATGACTTATATTATTGCAAGCTTAGATGCATTATGTTTATTGTGTTAGTTTGTCTTTTTATTTGATTTTTTTTTGTCATTTAATAGGCGTACAATGCACGGGAGATATTTTCAATAATCCATCAAAATTTGTCTATGACTTCCGATACTACATATGGTGTTGGAAATAATATATATGCTTCAACCAATAAATCTCCTAGCATTATCTCTGAACTTTATCCGCTCTTTTTTTCTTATGAGCTTAACCCTGTGGCTCCTAAAGCTCAAAAGAAAGTGCCTGTTCCTGAAGGACTAGACTTAGATGCATGGATTAATGAGCCATTACCTGAATCTGAAAACAATGAGAGCGAGGAAGAGGAGGAAAGTTATGGGCATGGATATACTCATAAATTTGGTGGAAGTGGTGATTTAATATTTTCTAGCGGTAGTGGTACAGCAATTGGAAGGCGTCGAGGTAGAAAATCAAATAAAAAAGGTTATGACAGTGAAGAGGATGAGGAAACTAAGGAAAAGGTAAAATTGGTTCATTTTGACTTTGATTTTCAGCTTATTGAATACCTTATTAATTATTATTACGCTAATTTGTTGTATATAATAGCGTCGTAAAGAACGCAATGAACGTATCAAGAATGATCCATTTTATATTAGTAGTACAGGAAAAGATCTATCGAAACATTCAAAATCAGATAAATCAGATAACCTATCAAAGCGTATTCCAGAAGAAATTGACGTGGATTCTATACCAGTAGTTCGTTTAACAATGGATGAATTTACCTTTAAAAGTAATTATTATGATAGTCTTATTTACATTATTTTAATATAGTTAGGCAAAAAATAATGGTTTTATTTTTTTCAGCCGATAAAAAAACCTCTAAAAAATCTAAAGCATCGAAAAAAGAAAAACGACATTCGCCGCCGCCTGTCCCGCCAGTTATCTATACTGACATTGGTGAGATGCCAGAGAATGCTACTTTATCCGATGAAGAAAAGGATACTACAAAGACTGGCCATAATAAACCTGTTTGGAACACAATACCAAGCAAAAGTGGCGGTATTTTAGATGTAGATTTTTCTGGCGTATCAAATGTAGATCTGTCGACGCCATTAGGCGCAGATGAGAAATTTCCGTCGATTGCAGTTTACCTTGCTCCTGAGGAAGTACGAAGGCGAGAAGAGGAAAGAGTGAGACGGAGAGTGACGGAAAGACGAATAAAGCAGACACAAGAAAGTACATCTCGAGTTAAAAAAAACAAGGTTATATATAAAGCCACGTAAAACTATTAATTCTGGCTCAAATAACAGTTTTGAAAATTTTTCAATAGAATCATATAAACCGTTTTTATAGAATGAAAAAAAAGTCGAGTCACTAATGTTACATGAGCCAGAATATTTAATTGAACAACATAACAATTATTAACACATGTAATAATAAAATCATCTTTTTTAGAGCGAAAAGCCGAAGTCAAAAGTTTCTATAGAGATTACACCAAATACAAAAAGCGCGGAAGATAATGGCGAACAATCCTCTAAATCTAAAAAGGTGCCCAAGAAAAAGCGGACCGGAGAGACTGAAGATCGTAAGAAAAAAGGAAAAAAGGATAAAGGAAAAGTATGTTAGTCGTAAATTATTATTCAAAGATTATAAATTTAACGGATTTTATTTAGAAACCCAAGAAGAAGAATTCAATATCAGATAATGCTACATTAGAACATAATGACAATGATGTAGTTGTAGATCCAATCAAAACATTGGTGGATTCAGACGATATTCAAGTTGTATGTTTCATTTTATTATATTATCTGCGTGTCATTTATTTAAATGAAAGCATATTAATATTTTAACGGGTGAATTACCAAAGCTTTATACCCTAAGATTAGGTTCTTCTACAGAAGCCAAAAATGAAGCTCCTGCAATGATTGCAGATTTCACTGTTCGCAATAATTGTTCATACAAACATCCCCTGTCTAAATTGACATTTGCTTTTGAATCAACAACAGACATTCAATTTAATAAAGCGTTAATAGAAATAGGTGAATTACAACATGGTGAACAGAAAAGCGTGACAATAGAATTTAAAGTTTTGGGAATTGTTGGTGCAGGTTTAACTGTTTCTGGAAACATTACGTACGAAATACAGGTAAAAAAATATATATACTTATTATCAGGTCCAATATTTAATTTGCTATTCTTAACGTACATAATCAAATTTGCATTATAGTCGGATGAAGAAACAAAAACAAATCGTGATATACCAATAAGATTTGAATTGCCTATGGCAGTTTTCATGTTAAACATGCCAAAAATAACACCAGAAGAGTTTAAGTCATGTGTTTCTCAAACAGGAGATTTTCCATTTACTGGATCAACATCTATACGTTTAAATGCCTCAATTAATTTAGTTGAACATTCATTCCAAAACGATGTGATACGATTAATATCAATGGCAACCGGGACACATATCGTTGAGCAAGTTCCGGGTGCTATAACAATTTATGGTAGGAGTGTACAAGGATATCAAGTTGCAGGGTTAGCAAAATTAACTGTTGAGAAGAATCTAATGTTAGTAGAAACCGAAATACCTGGCAGTGTTCAAAATACAAGTGTTCGAATTGAACTTAAATGCACAGACCAAGCATTTGTTGATGGTTTAATTAGAGAGATTGATTATTTGTTTAGAAAAGATTTGTGATTTATCAATACTCTGGTAAATTGTAGTAATTTTTGTATTTTTGAATATTTGTTTAAATTAGTATTATTATGGTATAAAAATACTTCAATTTTATTATACATAAAATAATGTCAATCTCTTGTTGATTTCTTGATGCATGATATTTTGATATCGGTAAAAACTTCTTTCATCAAACTACTATATTTCTTGCCAATATTTAAGATAATAATAGGTAAAATGGGATGGCTCACAATGTATAAAACGAGGTTGTCACTTTCTAATAAAGATTTTACTGAATCAACGAAAAATCAAAAGAGGGCATATTAAGCTAGACCGAACACCGAGAATTAGTAGTTATCGTTATTCACACATTAAACATAATAAGTTTACCAACTATTGAACCCTTGCTATAATGCTCCCATAAAAGGCCCAGGTACAATTCATGAGTTTATGTTCGGAAAATCGAAAAAAAAGGTTATTCTCGATAGATACAGTATATATATATTTTTTATTACTACGTTATACAGTATTAAAACTATGTAGGTTTTGTTCTCCATTATATACTGTATAATATGGTACATTATGGATATGTCCCGGTCGTAGATTACATTTAGTATTAAGATCAATCTAAAACCGGACTAGCCTGGACTAATTAAGTTTAAAATTATAAACCATAATATAAACTATATACTGTATATAGACAAAAATATTAAACCGTTAAAATCTTTAACTTTTATAGTGTTAAGTACTATATTAAATGTATTTCAAGCTTGTTTGTATAAATGTGATAATGTGATAATAATTATTATTATTTTATTATTATACAGTAGAGTATAATGTCTTATACAGGTCTCACCTTAAATATTTTAAAAAAATAATAATAATAATGTCTTATACAGTATACTGTATAAGAGATTATAACATAGTAAAATAATTAGGTTGTGGTATTTTAGAGTTTGAATTCTACAGAAAATAAAACAATTAATTGCCAATTTGTCTAAGAAGAATGGAATTTTATATGCAGTTTATTATATAATTATAAAATCATCTTTTTGTATTCTTTTTATGTAAATTGCTAATTGAATATTTTATTTTTATTTATTTTTTTATTATAGCAGATTGATTTTTTATTCATTTTTAATATTTAAATAACTACATTTAATCAGGGGTAAAATCACTGCCTTATGTTTTTAGAGTTAGGATGCAGTTTGAGACTAAGAGAGGGGTTAGTCTAAATTTTAGCTAAGGTTTAGTTTCGGATAATGCTAAACATTTTTACTTAGAATATCTGATCTTATTTACTTAATACATTTCTGAGATATAGCATCCCGATGATTTTACTCCTGGTTAAAATTAGCAGTTATTTTATTTTTATATTTTTTAAAGTGAGATCATGCTTTTTTTATATTTAGATTAAGCATATATATTACAATATACAGTATATATCTAATCTATCTTGAAAAACTAGAGATAAAGCTACTTTACTTTTGATCTATAATTGAAATCATCTCCAAATATCAAAAAAAAGTTGAGTCATATTTAAGATATGTTTAGGCAACTAAATTATAAAGTTCAACCAAAGATATTTTAAAAATAACTAATATTTGTGGTGAAGGGGTTTTAAATTTCAAAGATTTGTATAATCCGAAAATTATCTCTTTATTTAAGCTTCTGAATAGTGATGCAAACAGCTCGAGTTGAGCCGAGAGCCAAAGAGCCAAGCCAATTATCAGCTCAGCCAAGCCATGGATCACATCGGTTTCAAAATTGGCTTGGCTAAAGATCTTGGAGCCAAATGTGAAGCCGCAAGCCGATAGGTCTCAGTACTGCAGTATAGCATATGACTAGTAGCCAATAGTAAATTATCCAATACCACGACTATTTAATTGTCCGGATAAATTCTTTAATACAGTATATATATATGTATATATATACCATTTAATGTTATATAGCTATGTTATAGTAATTTAATAACGCTGATCTTAATGAGACAGTGTTGGCTCGGCTCTAGTTCACTACTTCTGAATCTATCGCTATTTTTTCTAAAATATGATAGCAAAAATACTATTATCAAAAACTTGAAAATCTTAATCACAAACTTCACAAAAAAATTAATGTACCTTGAATTAGAAATGCTTAGATCCGGATTCGCTCTAATAGAGATCAAATCTGAATCCATGATTTTTGAACTAAAGATATCTATGCGATCCAATCTGCGCAAATTACTAAAATGCTGAACTTAAAGGCAGAAACACCTTATTGCACACAAATGAATCTTCGTCAGATTGAATAATTTTATTAAACTTCAAATAAACCAGTATTGCTGTGACCAATCGAAGATGTACACTCTCCAACCAACAAATCCTTTTTTCAAGACTAGTTTTATTAACTTATTTTCTTTAAACTCGTTTTAGGCATTGGTGTATAAAGATTGCTGGAATGGGTTTTATACTGTTTAGTTTTTATCTTTCTTTGTATTAAATTATGAATTAAAAATGGACATGGATAAACCTGTTTATAATTTCTTTTTTTCTTTTTGTTCTTTTCTTTTTTTACCTCTCATATCACATTTATT